GAGAAAACTGCTCTGTAAAGTTTGTTCATTACATCAACAAATCAATTTTTTAAACACTATTATTGAATGAATAGGAATTTGTGTCATGGTGGTATGGAATCCACATGTTCATCTCATGAAACAGTGGAGAGCTTGCATCTCAATGAGAGTTTTTCTGGTCCCTTGTTTAAATTCAGAAATTCTCTTCCTTAATATCTGGAGTCTTTTTTTCCTTCCTATGGTGTCCATGTCCTTAAGCAAGTCTGCTAAGCAGATTGGAAATAGTCTGTAGAAAATCACCAGTAGTATTTACACAGAGATCCCCAAGGAAAGTTTCACCCTGCCCTGTCTGCACCTAGGCCTTGTTTTGAAGCCCTGGGTGAGATCCTGAATGTTGAATGTTGGCCATTTGGAATCCCAGTGCGTTATTGCCCCTGGGACAGTCTAGCAAAGGGCAAAAAAGATAATCTATGTGTGGATCAGTTGAAGATCAATTAAAACTATAAGGAGTATGCTGTAATGGCCCTGGCCAGAAATGGTGGCCACCAGTTATAAAAAGGATTGTGCAAACAGCAGGGGCATGCACTCAGAGGCTGTGTTCTGTATGATTCCGTTTGTGAGACATTGTGAAAAGGTAAAGCTCTAGGGAAGAACAACAGCTCAGTGGTTGTTAGAGGTTAGGGTTGAGGGGAGGAGTTGATTTCCAAGGGAGGACTTTGGGAGGTAAAGAACTGTTCTGTGGCTTACCATGGTGGTGGTTGTATGACTGTGCTTTTGTCAAAACTCCTAGAACTGTGTGACCAAAAAAAGAGTAAATTTCACTGTCCAGAAATCTAACAAAAATGAAGACGCCAAAGGGACAGTTTGTCATTGTGTCGTGATTATGTGGGGTTACGGATGACTCTCAACCAGGTTCTGATTTTTTAAAGTCTTCAACAGGGAGTTAAACGTTACCTATAAAGAGTTTTCTAAGCATGCACTTTTAGATATTTTAGTTAATTTTTAATTATAAACTTTGCATATATATGTGGGTGAAAATAATCAAATAGTCAAGAAAGGTATACAGTGAAACCTGGGAGAGTCAGAACTTGGTGGGACTGCCTAGTTTTTCTAGGTCTTGTAAGTTTTCTGTCTTTGACAGGGTGCAGTCTTCCCACTTTTTCTTTTTTTAAATTGTGCTTTAGATGAAAGTTTACAGCTCAAGTTAATTATTCATCCAAAAATTTATACAGATGCTGTTATGTGACATTAATTGCAGTGCCTACAATGTGACAGCACACTCCCTTTTTCCACCTGGGTTTCTTGTGTTCATTCAACCAGTTCCTGTCCCTTCCTGCCTCTCATCCTGCCTCTAGACAGGAGCCGCCCATTTGGTGTTGTGTATCTGATTGAACTAAGAAGCACATTCCTCGTGAGTATTATTTTTTGTTTTATAGTCCAGTCTAATCTTTGTCTGAAGAGTGGGCTTCGGAAACGGTTTTAGTTGTTGGTTAACAGAGCATCTGGAGGCCATAATTTCGGGGGTTCCTCCAGTCTCAGTCAGACCATTAATTCTAGTCTTTTTACGTGAATTTGAGTTCTGCTCTGCACTTTTTTCCCGCTCCGTCTGGGACTCTGTGTTGTGTTCCCTGTCAGGGCGGACATTGATGGTTGCCGGGCACCATCCTTTTCTTCTGGTCTCAGGCTGATGGAGTCTCTGGTTTATGTGGACCTTTTGTCTTTTGAGCTAATATTTTCCTTGTGTCTTTGGTGTTCTTCATTTTCCTTTGCTCCAAGTAGGTTGGGACCAACCGATGCATCTTAGATAGCCGTTCGCAAGCTTTTAAGACCCCAGATGCCACTCACCAAAGTGGGATGCAGAACATTTTCTTAATAAACTTTGTTATGCCAGTTGACCTAGATGTCCCCTGAAAGCATGGTCTGCAGGCCCCGGCCCCATCTTCCCACTTTTCTATCACTCATTTTAGTGGAAAATATTTGAGTTTTCCTTTTCTCACAGGTTTCCGTCTTACACAGGTTCTGGCCTTTCGCAGGTTCTACCGTACAATGAAAAGGAAAAAATCTCTCCTCCCACCCCATCCCCAGTCATATTCTTCAAATGTGATTACACCTGCTCCTCACTTATCGACTATCTTGTTATCCAATATTACGACAATGGAAAAAATTCTCCTATCCAATTGTTTTGCGCATTAACGAGGCGGAGGGCATGGCTGCAAAGGCTGCAGAGCATCCCTTCCCTGGGCGGCCTCTGGGAGGCTGGGCTGCACTGCCCTGCCCACTTCCGCCAGGCCTGCATGGCCAGCTGCCAAGCTGGGCAGCCTCCTCTGTGGCCACAGCCTCCCAGCAGGCAGCACTGACTGAGCCAGCAGGCACCTCTTCTGGGTTCCCAGCTCCTGTGCAGCCTGAGGCCCTACAGCTCAAAATCGCTGTGGGGTGGGAAGGGAGGAAAGAAAGAGGCATCGGAGAAGGTGTTTGGAAGAAATGCATGGGAGTTTAATGGCATCCCAAAGTGAGCTGAACTGGGCCTGAAGCCTCTGCCTCAGTGGGGCTGGGTGCACGGCAAGGCTCCCCTCTATGGCCAGCCCTGAGCCTGGGTGACTCGCCAGGCTCGGAGGGCAAAGCAGGTTCCGGGCTTGTGAACACAGAGCTTGCAGGGGTGGGAGTGGAGCCCTGGAGGTGGCACCATGGGGGACGCTCTGACCCAGCACAGGAGGAAGGTGAAGTGGTTTAGCCATGAGCCCTGCAGTCACACAGCCCGGCTTTATCCAGCTTAGTCTCCTCCAAGCCTCCTTCTCCACAGAGGAATAATCCATAACTGGACTCGTCACAGTGATGAGCACATCAGTAAGTCTTAAATGTTAGTATTTCTATGATCATATTTTCTAAATAAAAATAATTGGACAAATGGATAGTCTGAAAACATAAAAAAAGAATCTTCATTTTCCTACAAAACTGATTTTCACATCACGACCTGGTCTTTGGAACCTAACCATGTAGAGAAGTGAGGAGTGGGTGTACTTTTAACAGTTTACTGAGCACGTGTAGTACTTACTGGTCTGTGCCTGGCTTTTTCACAACATTATCAATGAGTGTGGCTCTACCACATTCCTTTCAATGATTGCCTAGTATTCTATTGTTTGGATATTCCCTATTTATTTGATTGTTGTTGTTGTGTTCCCTGGAGTCAATTCCAAGTCATAGCAACCCTATAGGACAGAGCAGAGCTGCCCCATAGGGTTTCCTAGGCTGTAAGCTTTAAGGGAGAAGATTGCCATGTGTTTTCTCCTGTGGGTTCATTTGACCAGTCCCTGTTAATGGGTAGCCAGATGATCTGTATCAAGAAAAAACTGGAAACCAGGCTATAATGAACATTCTTGATAAACATATCGAATTTAAAACTGTGTATGCATTTAGGCCTAATAATTGTACCTGTAGTTATGGCCTACAGATAGCTATCTTTAGACAAGTACACAAAGTTGAATGCACAAGAATGTTCAGTACAGCCTGGTTTCCGGTTTTCTTCCTGGTACAGGCCATTTGGATATCCATTAAGAGGGAGTGGTCAAATAAGTTAGGGAATATCCGAACAATAGAATACTATGCAATCACTGAAAAGAATAAGCTAGAGCCCCTGGCACAGATAGATACTGCCCCATTGCTCTGTAGGAGCTTACACCAGTTTGTATTCCTACTAGCAAGGAGTTAAACATGTACTTAACAATTCATGATTGAACTTCCATGACTTCATCCTCGCTTTCTGACAGCATAGGTGGTAGAAATTCAGTTGTAGGGGGAAAATAAGCAAATTATTCATATGTTAATGGAGTTTGTGTTCTGAGGTCTTTGACAGTTAAAAATCTTGATGCTAAGGTTAATTTATGCGAGGGGTGAAATGATTTTTTAAAGAAAGACTTTGTTTCCTTTTCCTTGTTTATTTTTTTTCTATGTCACAAATTGCTTTGGAGAAGGGTAAAACATAAAGTTGCGTAGTAGGGGAAAAACATCATAAAGTTGAGTGGAGCAAAAAGAAAGTTTTATTCGGCATATATTCAAAAGGGCAGAAGTGGGAAGTGGACAAGCGCACTGCCACAGCCATGTCTGCCCAAGTCCAAGGAAATATCACAAAACAGACAAAAGTGGGAAAATGGACAAGCACGCTGCCACAGCCATGTCTGCCCAAGTCCAAGGAAATATCACGAAACAGACAAAAGTGGGAAAACGGACAAGCATGCTGCCACAGCCATGTCTGCCCGAGTCCAAAGAACCATTACAGAGTCATCAGTATATAGTAACATTACAAATGGGCAAAACCATCAAAAGGTTAGCCTTTTCAGATTGGCTAGAAACTGTGATCCTACATTTTGAATTGTCTTTCTTAATAATCCTTGGTACAGGTTTCAGTAACGAGAGTCAGGAGGGTCTTCATTGGTCCAACAAATCTCTGTTCACTAAATGCCAATAGAAAAAGGGTAGAAAATCTTTTGTGTTCTGTTTGATTGGCTTTATGTGAAAGTTTCCATAAAAGATATTTTCCAAGATTATCTTAGCTATTGTCTTTATACCTCAGGGCCCAGTTGATGTGTCCTGGTGAGTTCTTGTGAGCCCAGCTCCAGCTGGGTCACATTCTGTATGCTCAAGGAGAGGGAATAATAACTCCAATATTATTTCCTAAATCAGTTGCCAAGATAAACATGGAACTCTGTTACGAGTGCTGCAAGTTGCTTCTTTTACATGTTACTCTGCTTCTGCTGTTTAGAGTACACGCTATGCTAATGGAATAAAGCGGACATTTTGTGATATTTATGCCAGGTTCTGATGTTCATAGGGTTGTTATGAGCTGGAACTGCCTCTATGGCACCTAACAACAACAGCAACATGCCAGGTTCTAGAATAGAACAGTGCACGTTTGTGGACTGATGTGACTTTATGAAAACAGTGAACTCCACGACATTCCCTAAAAAAGACACTGAAGTCTTTGTACCTCAGCAGGGGCTCAAATGATTGTGTTTGTTATTCCACAGGGGACTGACATCTTCTAGTGTCAGACCTGGAGAAGACAGCTGGTTAAAATCCTTATTTGTCCGGAAAGTTGATCCAAGAAAAGATGCTCATTCCAACCTCCTGGCCAAAAAGGAAACGAGCAGCCTGTACAAACTACAGTGTGAGTGATAGGTTTGTGCTCTTCATAGTTGACTCATTTTCCCTTTGTTCCTAAGTTTATCGTTGAATTTTCTTTTGTTTCAGTTCACAATGTTAAACCGGAATACCTAGAAGCATACAACAAAATTTGGTGTGTATACCAAACTATCCTTTACTTGGGGAAACAAATAATGAGTTTAATATTTGTTGGTTCAACTAACACTTAGCCGAAAGTGAGCTCTTTCATCCCTCTCCTCAAAGCTGGAATGTTCAGAGGCTCTTAAACTGAACTCTGGGATTGATTGCCAAGGACATTTTCATTATAAGCTCTCACACATCTAAGTTATCACATAGGCAGTCACACTTTAGAAGATGAATAGACTCTTAAGATTGGAAGGAGCCTTGCAAGATCATCCAGCCCATCTGCTTATCCAGTTATTGAATCCTTTCTGCAGATGTTCCTCAAGGCCGGCTGTAAATACATTCCATCCCGGTACAGCTCTGAGTGTTAGGAATTAGAATTCCCACCTTTGGGACCTCTCTTGTTTCTGTCTTTACTCCTAAGGAAAATGGCCACATGGAAGTCCTGTATATGTTAGAACATAGCTGCCATTTCCTACCAAGTCTTCTGTTCTCCGGGATCCAAGTCACTTCACCTGGTCCTCCTATGATACAAGGACTATAATCTTTTACAGAATGTGTAAACCTGCAGACTAAAGGGAGAATTAAGCTTATAAGTTCTTAATTAAATTAACAAAATTAGGATTTTAATAATCATTTGTAAGGAAACATACTGAAAAAGACATTTTCACCCTTAATTTCTGCTATTCTCATGAAAAGGCAAGTGATCTTGTCACCGGAGTCAATACCAAAACCTCTTCAAAACCAAAAACCTTTTGTAGTTTTATTGTGGTTTCGTATCTGGAGGTGGTTCATGAAATGTCATGCTAGCATAGAATTTCTTGCGCACCTCAGCACGGTTCTGTTTATTGAAAAATGCCCTACAGCAAAACAGATGCTTATCTAAGTCTTTTCTCATAAAATGAGGATTTTTCTCTCTGCTAATGTTTCCCCCATTATCTTCCCTGTCCTGTTTTTATTACCTCATCTCCAGGCTTGGGTTTCTGGCATATTTCTGTTGGGATGCCTTACTATTGCTTCAAACTCAGCATGTCGAGTCACCTCCCTCTCCCAGCTTCCCTGTCTGTATCCCTCACCGTGTTTTATTTTGCGCTTTCTTTAGTTTTCGGTGATTAATTAGCCTCTGAGGACTGCGTTCTTCGTTTGACATGTATTTTGGTTCTCTTTTGCTTGTTTCCTTCTCCACCTCCCTGTCTAAGCCTGTCCAGCCCTATTCCCAAGTAGCCTCCTTTCTGACTTCCTGGGCTCCCAGCTGCCCCTGGATCTCTACCTCACCTGCAGTCCATCACTCAGAAGCTTGTCAGATTGATCTTCTTGAATTCTGCATTCCCCTTCATGCTCTTTCTGTTCCCTGAAGCTTTCAGCAACTCCCTGTTCCTAGCACAGAAAGAGTTAACTCCTGCCTAGTTTAGGGGGACCCCCTGTATTGAGGTTCTGCCCAGTCCATCCAGTTCTGGGTACAGGTACTGCCTACCTTGCAACTTCCAGCAAAAGGGATTGGCTAGAAATCTACCTGTGGCTTTGTACTGATGAGCAGCCTAGGCCCTGTTCTCAGGCCCCTGGCTGCTTTCCGGGCCGCAGCTGTGTCGTCTGTGCCGGCCTCCTTCCTCCACATTAGCTCCAAGTCATTAGCTCCAAGTCAGGGACGGTTACTTCCTGCTCCTGTCCTCTGGCAAAAAGCAGATTCATTTCCATTTCACTACCATACTTCCTCTTTTCCCACCCCCAGTCTGTCAATTCCATGTTAACTTCTGAACATTCATGGGTTATGCATCAGATACGTTTAATATCAGGTCTTAATTTAAAAAGTAAATGCCACCCTTTAAAAAATACACATTGGTATGGTCATTGTACCGCCAGTTACCAGTTGCTATCAAGTAGATTTCAACTCCTGGTGACCCCGTTTGTGTCAGGATGGAACTGTGCCCCATAGGTTTTTCATTGTCTGGCTTTTCAGAAGTAGATGGCCAGGACTTTCTTCCAGGGTGCCTCTGGGTGGGCTTGCCCCTCCAACCTTTTGGTTAGCTGCTGAGTGCCTTAACCATTTGCACTACCCAGGGACTCCATGGTCCAGACATATGGGTTTTCAGCTAGTTAGGGAGCCATTTGGAGCTTTTCTTTGTTGACTATTCATATACATTCAGTCTTAGCGTGCCAGCATCCGGTGGTGTTCACTAATTTAATTTCACTCAGTGTTAGCACATTATTTGAATAGGTTCCATTTCTGACCCTTGACATCCCCTTGATTCCATTGTTGAATCAATATCATACTTTTTTACCATAATTTTCCTGTTCTTCAAAAAGTGTGCAGGTTTTAGTTTTCTCTTGGTATGACACGGCTATACCTCTTCCCTTAGCCTTTACTTGGGCATTAGAATATATACAATAGGAAGGTTTCCGTGGGATCAATCTCTGACACCTCTGTTAAACTAATAAACTCTCATGTCTTGGCTTTGCCGCTGCTCATCTGCTCATGTGCAGCAGAATGGACTGGGTGGTATGTTCAGTGTGGGATTATCTGATATGTGTCAAATCCCCTCAACTACTTGAATTGAGTAGAACCTAATTTATGCACCATGCTGTATCTTTAATTTTTGATTCTTTGATGCCCTTTGTGACTGTCGAACTTGGAGTTGCTTCCAGACTGTGTTGTGTTCTAGCTCTATGTCTTCCTCCTCCTTCCGTAAGGCCAACTTGTTCTCTGCTTCTGTTACCTCTGCTGCTGGTGCTGCTTCTGTTGTCTGCCCCTCCATTAAGCATTACTGTGCTCGCTTTCCATCTTTCGTATTTCTTCCATGTTCTTTTTCTTCTATTCTCATTTCTCCCATTCTTCCTATCTTTGGAACCAGCAGAACTTAGCTTTTAGAAACATCACCATTCTGAAGTACTTCTTTTTTTTTTTTCCCCTGAAAGGGCAAGTAGTAGACCCATAGCTCCTGGAATCTTGGGACCTTTGGCTCTTCTTAGTCATTTTTATCACTGTTTATACTTAAGTTACTTACAACTGTTTAGATAGTTGGGGTATCAGAAATCTAAGCCTCTGATTAGTGGCATGTCACAGTATAACAGAAGTCAGCTAAAGGGTTGATTCTACACACTGTTTTATTGTAAATATGTTCTGAGGTCAATTGCCAGAATGCAGAGTAGGTGGCCTTTTCCTGTTATTGACCTCACATTGTCTACCTAGTTGCATTTTGCTGGTTGTTTAATCAGTGTTGCTGTTTCTTCTCTTTAAGTCAAGAGGTGTTGCCAAAGATTCACGAAGATAAACATTACCCTTGTACTTTGGTGGGGACTTGGAACACGTGGTATGGCGAGCAGGATCAAGCTGGTAGGAAGCAGAAGTCTTTAGAATAAACACTTGTTCCTTAAACCTTCATAGTAACCGCTTAAGTAGTTTTCTGATTTAATGCTAGTTATTATCATCAAAGCTTTCCAAGCCTCAGTATAATGTTATGGTTAAAGTAGTTCTGTCATAATTCATTGCAAACACTACTTTTTTCGTTGTTTGAATCTATTATTGAAACTTTATTGTGTTAATTCATAGGCCAACACATGGCACATGATAGTTTTGTACTGTTAATATTACGTGTATCTAAATATTTTCAAGGTAAGAGTATCATGAAACTCTAATGTGTATTATGTTTTAAAATATGTTTCAGTTCACCTCTGGAGGTATGAAGGAGGCTATCCAGCCCTCACAGAGGTGATGAATAAACTCAGAGAAAGTCAGGTAATGATTTTGAAAAATGTTTACTTATTCAGACTAATGACTTAGTATGTATCAGTATAGAATGGCCGCTAGGAGTCGGAATCGACTTGACGGCAATGAGGTATGGATAGTATAAAATTAAATGACTCTTTTCTGTCATCAGTTTTTGTTTAAATTTTTTGTAGTAAAACTTTTATTCTTTGAACTCTTGAAGATGCATTTAAACATAAAGTATGGTAGCCAGTTGTAATATATAAAGTTACAGTTCTTCCTGTAAAAGTAAGTTGTACTTTGAAACTAATAAGCTGATACTTTGAAACTGGTTAAGTCAGCACAGTAGACACGGTCAGCCCTGGATTATCTAGCAAGAATTGTCTACCACATTTTTTTTTTCCTTGGTCTGACTTTGCTGTCCCATCCCTCACTTTGCTAATAAGTACATGTTAGTGGAGAGGATATTCACAGTTCAAGCCATACATCATTAGGAAAGAAATTTTTTGTGTAGATTCCCAGTGCAAATATAAATGGCTTTTGGATTATCTGCTGTTTGTAGTCTCTGTGTCACCTCTGTTAATGTACTGTCAAGCTCTGTTAGGAGAATCTAAAAACATGGGAAATGAAATTTGTTTAAATTGTCATTTAAATAATTACATTTAGAGTGACCACATAATTTGTCCTCTAAACCTGGAGACTTGAGAGTGAAAGGGGATGCTATTAGTCATTATTAATCATTGGTTCGACAGATGTCAACTGGGACTGTCCCAGGCCAACTGGGACCTATTGATTACCCTATTTATGATAGGGAGTCCCTGGGTGGTACAAACAGTTAACGCGCTCAACTGCTAACTGAAAAGTTGGCTGTTCAGGACCATCCAGAGGTACCTTGGAAGAAAGTCCTGATGATCTGCTTCCAAAAAATCCACCACTGAAAACCCTATGGAGCACACATGGGGGTGCCAGGAGTTGGAATCATCTCAACAGCAGCTGTTTACTTATGATAGTATTCTTTTATATCCTGTACAACCAACAGTAATATAAATGTTACTAAAGTGGTTGTATATATAAGTATTAGAAGACATCATGAGCACATTTTTTCACCCAAAGGAATTTGCGGAATTCCGTAAGGCAAGAAGTGACATGCTCCTCTCTAGGAAGAATCAACTGCTATTGGAATTCAGTTTCTGGAATGAGCCTGTCCCACGGTCAGGACCTAATATATATGAACTCAGGTCTTACCAGCTCCGAGTAAGTACTGAAATACAAGATAAATGTCCCCTCTCTTCCACGAAGAAGCATGAGCCACCCGGTAATACTGACAGCAAAACCCAAGTGTACATTCTGTAGTGTGGGTTTAGCATTGTATTTTGATTTGGCGTCTTTCTTCCCTTCCAGTTCTTCTCCTCTTATTTCGTTATTTATTTTTTCTCTCTTTTTTTCTTTCTCGCTCCTTCTCTTCTGCTAAGCTCTTACGGTTTTTTATAGTCTAATACATATTGTTCAGTGCTTGATGTTTTTCCATATAGCATTTCTGTTTTTAAGAGGAAAGATCTAAAATGCAGGACTGGGTACAATATAGCATCAGTTGTAGTCGCAGTAGAGCAACTAATAAATGTGACTGCCCTACAAATTGTGGAGCACTGTGAGAGAAAAAGGGAACAATATTTTGTAACACTTTCAAGATGTCGCCCTACTAAGTACTAGAAAGAACTCAATCCCAGAGAGCAGCATTGTTGAATAATTGTCAGTAGATCTCAGTGGTGTTTTTACTAGAAAAAATGGAGTTACTTAAATTGAATTTTTCATTAATTTCACAATCAAGTCTGAATAGGTACGCACAGTTTAATTATTGCTCAGTACATCTAAAGGATGGCCTAACTGATTTGCTAAACGAATGACTTACTCTTACACTGTATATGTGTTGTCTTCTGTACCGAGCTGTAGAATTTACTCCCAGCATGGGATAGGTATAAACACAGTGAATAATAGTATTTTGTTTCTCACATTATTAAAAGTGAAGTTTTACATTACTTTTTCTCATTGATTTTTTTTATACTGCTACTTCCAGAAGCTAACAAACCAAAATCCAAATCTCTTTACAGCCTGGAACCATGATTGAATGGGGCAATTACTGGTGAGTGAATTATGGAATGATGAGTTTGTAAATCTTATTAACAGATTGTTTTAGGCCATCATATTAATTTTAGAAGTAAAATCGGGGGATAATGCCATGATTTGACACTAGACTATTGTTTTTGTTTAGTGTTTTATTATGAAAATTTTTAAACAGTTACAAAGCCAGAGAGACTAATATAGTAGACCCCTCCTCCTCTATCCATTATTTCCTGCAGTAATTATGAACACGTGGCCAATCTTGTTTTAGCTCTGTCTCTCCCCACACCTGGATTATTTGGGAGCAATCCTCAGACATACCATTTCATGCATAAATATTTCAGTATATGTCTCTAATAAAAGTTAAAGACTCTATTTTAACAAAACCACAGTATAGGTCAAGGCTATTTCATGTACTTCTTGAATATTATCTTTCCTGAAACATGCGTTTGTCATATATACAGAACTTTGGTACAGTTGCCTCAGTTTTTTTCCTTCTTAGTTTGAGTAGCTAAATACCAGTGTTTCCCCAAGTTGATTTATAGATTCAAAATTCCCAGCAGATTTGAGAGTAAGGGAGAATGAAGACAACAGTATACAAGGAAAAGATTAGTCCAAAGGACTAATGGATGACAACTACCAAGGCCTCCAGCAGACTGAGTCCAGTACAACTGGATGGTGCCTGCCTACCACCACCGAATGCTCTGACTGCGATCACAGCCAAGGGTTCTGGACAGAGCTGGAGAAGGATGTAGAGCAAAATTCTAATACAGAAAAAAAGACCAGATTTACTGGCCTGACAGACTGGAGAAACCCCAAGATTATGGCCCCCAGGCACCCTTTTAGCCTAGTGGTGAAGTCACTCCTGAGGTTCACCATTCAGCCAGGGATTGGACAGCCCCATAAAACAAAATGGGACTTATGAGGCACAGCAGTCCAGGGACAAGGACTAGAAGGCAGAAGGGGACAGGAAAGCTGGTGATAGGGAACCCAGGGTTGAGTAAGGACAGTGTTGACATGTAGTGGGGTTGTTAACCATTGTCATAGGGCAGTTAGTGTACTAACTGCTTAATGAGAAACTATTTTGTTCTGTAAACCTTCATCTAAAGGGAGAATAGCAGCACAATGGGAAGAAAGTAATCGATGTCACTGAGTTGTACATGTAGAAATTTTTGAAATGGTGTCTCTTTGGCTGTGTATATTTTCACCAAAAAAAAAAAAGTCCTCCAAGGTTGAGAAGGGAGAGTGTTGACATGTCGTGGGGTTGTTAACCAATGTCATAAAATAATATGTGTACTGACGTTTAATGAGAAACTATTTGTTCGGTAAACCTTCACCTAAAGTACAATAAAAAAAAAATTAAAAAAAAAAAAAAATTTCCCAGCAGACTTTGGAAATGCAGAGGACCCCAAATAGCAAAACAGTCTTGCAAAAGAAGAACAAAGTTAGAGAACATAGAGTTCCCAATTTCAAAACTTACTACAAAGCTAGAGTAATGAGGACAGTGGTACTCGCTTAAGGACAAACAGAGCAGTGGCATAGCACTGGAAGTCCAGAAATAAACCCTTAAATTTACGGTCAATTGATTTTTTTGACAAAAGTGCCAAGGCGCTTCAATGGAGAAAAGATAGTCCTTTCAACAAAGAGTGCTGGAACAACTAGATACCCTTGCAAAAAATGAAGGTAGACTCCTACCTCACATCATACACAAAAATTAAAATGAATCATACACCTAAATATAAAACCTAGACTGTGAAACTTTTACAAGAAAACATAGGAGAAAATCTTTGTGTTTTTGAGTTAGGCAGAGTTTTTAGATACAACACCAGAAGTACTACCCACATGAGAAAAAAATCGATAAGTTGGAATTCTTCCAAGAACATCATTTAAGTGAGCAGACGAGTCACAGAATGGGAGAAAATACCGCAAATGTTTGGTAAAAATTTCATAAGAACCTGTATCCAGAATCTATAAGAACTCTTACAACTGAATAAGAATAAAACAAATAACCTAATTTTTTAAATGGGCAAAAGATTTGAATAGATTTTCACAAAAGATATGTGAATGTCTAATAAGCACAGGAAAAGATGCTCAACATAGTGAATTCAAAGTAAAACCACAATTAGATACCACTTCACATCCACTAGGATGGCTATAATCATAAAAACAGATAATAACAAGTGTTCGTGAGAGTGTGGAGAAATTAGAAGCCTCATACACTGGTGATGGGAATGTAAAATGGTACAGGTACTTTGGAACAGTTTGGCAGCTTCTCAAAATGTTAAACTTGGAGTTGCAATATGACCCATTGATTCCATTCTGGATATATATCCAAGAGAAATGAAAACATATGTCTGTGCATACACTTGTACACAAAGTGTACAGTGTTCATGGAAACATTCATAATAGCCAAAAAGTGGAAATAACCCATATGTCCATCAGCAGATGAATGGATAAAGAAAATGCAGTACATACATACAATGGAATGTTTTTCAGCCATAGAGAGAAATGAAGTTCTGATGCATATGCTGTGATATTGATGAACCTTGAAAACATGCTGAGTGCAATAAGTCAGACACAAAAGGACAGATATTATTATATGAAATATATTAATGGTGAAACACAAGAGGCATGCTCATTACTGTTAGGAAAAAAACTAGCTTTCACCATTATGTTCTAATATTGTTTTTAGAAGTTTTGACTTTTATAATAAGAAAAAAAAAAAAAAGGTATAACAGTACAAAGCCTCAATAATTAATAAGGATACAAGAATAGATTACTGAATGTAAAATGATGGAGTAGGAAGCTTTAAGAGTTGGCCCCTCTACCAAAACAACAGTTGAACTAGAAAGAGAAATTAGAATAAACTATTTTGGAACTCTGGAATCTGATCAGAGTCTTAAACCAATTGGAAGAGTGCCTCATGAAGGCGGAGGCTTCTGATCATTCCTAGGTGAGTCATGTGCACCAACTGGCTACTATCCCCCATTCCTCAGCCCTTCCACAGTAGTGGAGACAGCAGCTGCGTTCCTAGAGCAGCTGGCTGGTGCCTGGGCAGGCAGTGGGGACCTTGTCCTCCAAGGATTTGGGGTTACACGTTTGGGTTGGTCTGATAGTGACCTAAGGGACTGGTGCAGAGAATTGCCTCAGTTTTGCCCCCCTTGCAGCAGCAGCAGCATCTCCCAGCAGTGGCAGAGCTTAAAGGACCAACATGTCTTTTTTGGAGGGGAGGGAATGGAATCTGTCAGGCCACTGACTGACTGCAGAGATAACAAAACTTCACTGACCACACACAATTAGAATACATACTTTGCAAAAATAATTGGGAAAAGTCACTAAAACAGATGACTGCAGCCATTATTAAGTAACAACAGCAGTCTCTGAGGAGTGGGAGAATCAGATTTCCAGAGCTACCACATCATGATACCCAGAATGTCCAGTTCTCAACAAAAGATTAGAAGACATGCAGAGGAACAGGGAAGTATGCCCATTCACAGGAAATAAAGAATTTGACAGAAACCATCCCTGAGGAATCCTAGACATTGGAATTACTAGTCAAAGGTGTTAAATCATCTGTCTTAAATATGCTCAGTTAGCTAAAGGAAACCATAGATAAAGAACTGAAAAAAAAAACCTAAGAAAATGACGCATAAACAAAATGAGAATATCAATAAGGAGATACAGATTATAAAAACAAACCAAACACATTCTGGAGCTGGAATGTACAATAACTGAAATGAAAATTTCACTAGAGGGGCTTGACAATAGAATAAACAGAAGAAAAGATTATCAAGTCTAAGGAGCAGAAAGAAAAATGAATAAAGAAAAACAGAGCCTGAGAGGCTTTTGGGGCACCATGAAATGTACCAACATATGTATCGTAAGAGTCCCAGAAGAAGAGAAAGTGGCAGAAAAAATATTAGAAGAGATAATGACCAAAAACTTAGCAAATCTGATGAAAGAGTGAATGAATATACATATCCAAGAATTGCAATGAACTCCAAACAGGATAAATGCAAAGATATCCACACCAAGCCACATTAGAGCCATATTGTCAAAAACCAAAGACAAAGAGTCTTGAAGCGGCAGGAGAGAAGCATATCATCATACGCAAGGGATTCTCAAGAAGATTAACAGCTGATTTCTCATCAGAAACCATGGAGGCCAGAAAGCAGTGAAATGGCATTTGAAGTGCTGAAACAAAAAACTGTCAACCGAGAATTCTCTCTCTGTCAAAACTATTTTTCAAGAATGAAGGAGAAATTAATATGCTTCGAGACAAAAACTGAGAGAGTTCATTACTATTATACCTGCCCTACAAAAAATACTAAAGGGAGTCCTTCACACTGAAATGAAAAGACACTAATAGTAACTCAAAGTCATAAGAAGAAATAAAGAGCACTGGTAAAGGTAACTACATAGGTAAATATAAATTTCAGTATTATTGTACTTCTGGTTTTTACCTCCTTTTTTTCTTTATGATTTAAAGGGTAAATTCATGAAATGGTAATTATAAATCTATGTTAATAGGCACACAATGTATAAAAATGTAATTTGTGACAATAACAATATAAAGGGAGAGGGATGAAGATGCGTGGGGCAGAGTGTATGTATACCATTGTAAATAAGTTGTTATTATTTTCACTATAGGCAGTTATAAGTTTAAGATGGTAATTGTAATCTACAAGATAACCACCAAGAAAATAAAAAATATACAGAAAAGGAAAGAAGAAGGGAATCAAAACAGTACACCACACAAATTCAACTAAATACAAAAAAGAGGAGGACAGTAATGGTAGAATTGAGGAACAAAGAACATATAAGACATACAAAAAACAACTAAATGGCAGAAGTAAATTCTTCCTTATCAACAATTAAATTTAATTAACTTTTCTATTAAATGGTAGAGATTGGCAGATTGGCTTTAAAAAACATGATCCATCTATATGCTGTCTATAAGAGACTTCCTTTGCATACAAAGACATTGAAATTAAAAAGATGGAAAAAGATAACCCATGCACT